ATTCTCTCTTTCTATCACTCGCACACTGTAATGGAAATGCTTTTTTACTTTTTCTATTTCTTAAGGTGCACACATAGTAAATCGAATATATGAAAAAATGGCACATGTAGAGTTGGCATGTTTTGTAAACGAGTGTAGTTTCAAGCTTTTAATATTTACTGCAGCTTTGAAAAATATTTTTCATGGGCTTCACTTGTGCGCCGTAAGCATTGCAGGAAGGTTCCGTGAAAGCATGAGACTTTGTCACTTAAATATTTGTGAGTTTAAAACTGTCAAGCATATCAAAACATAAATGAAAAAGCTGAATAAATGAATAACTAGGAAGTGATGTTCTGGCATCTTTTAAAGAAAAAAATTAGATCAACTAAGATACAGTGCGTCTTGGATTTGTGCAAATAAAAGCTCACAGCACAAATTGTATGACCACAGGGGAAAAAAAAAACCTCTGACCATTTAATTGGCAGGATCTGTTAGCGATCCATTAAAAATAATGGGAATAAGAGTTAGAGGAAGCAATAGCATTATATCAGGGAGAAAAGATATTATTACTGCCTCATATATCTGCCCATTTCTCTGACTCTGCACTTTTTATATGTTTAATCAGTAAATTCCATTGAATTTTGCTCCCAGAAAAGTCAATGTAGCATTGCAGTCTATGTGATTTAAGGCATAAACTAAACACCAGTTAAAACCGAGCCATTATTCATAACCCAATTTAGTGCTGCTGCCTTTAATGAAAAGTTCAGGTTTAATTAATAGGATAATAGGTTATGTTTTCAGCAGTCCAACTATTATATACGTACATATGAGTGGTGCATTCCTACTGGTTCGGACAGGTTTAGCTGAACCGTTAGTGGTTTGGTGGCTTGGGTCGCTGGCACTGGCAGTGACCTAGGCCTGCCATACCTCTGAACTGGTTCCCTGGTTGGTGCCATCGGCACCGCCATCTTGTTTTTCAATTCTGCACATACGCAGAACAATTTTAATTGCACTGCGCATGCCTGCAGCCAAAGCGCGCAGATGAGTGAACCAGCTGTAGTGCCGACTGGAACCCACCCCTTGTACACATATCATTCTGTCATGTGATATAACTGGATTAAAGATGGAAACCTAAAATTGGGTTTAAGACCGACCAATTTTATCTTTACTTTAAAACTACAGCTATTTTAAAAATAAATAAATTAATTAATTGCATTATATTCTTAAAACGAACAACTAGAACATTGGTCTAGTAGTCTCCTCATATTTAAATAAAAGAAGTCTTTAGATAATTTATTTCAATCCATTTCTTTAACTTAATTTGAATTTCATGCTATATATTTTAAAATATATTTATATTTTTATCTTCAGAGTGGTAATCGAAATCACATAGGAACTCTTTACAGCCTAAAGCAATAATACTTTAATTCAACTAGAAATGTGACTCCCTTTGTTTAGACATATAATTTACTTCGTTAACTAAAATGTTTTGGAATGAATTGCTTAGCACACAATAGAAATGTTAAATTTTTGAAGACTGTTCAACAGCATAATACATATAGATCTGAAGATTGGCTAGGAAAGTTACCGGTACATTTTAAATGTATCTCGGCATCTGTCAATGGAAACTGAACATATTCTTGCTTATATGCACTTTGGAATTACATCCAAATCAAGCTTACCTCAAAATATCAGCTTTGTTATAAATGAAAGGGAAGATTGAATATTATTATTGTTATTGTTGTTGTTGCTGCTGCTGTTATTAGATTGTTATTACATTGTTTTATTATTAAAATGTACCCTTTCTATATCTAACGATCTGAGATTAACCAAGTTAAAGTTGATTTATCAAAAGTTGTATTTAGGGTGTATTCGACTCTTCAAATAATGCTTTTGAAAGGATGGACATCAGTTTTTCTATATTGAAGAGGTAAAAAATGTGACGATTCACTGCCTCATATGTTGTGGTCATGTAAAATGACAAGAAAATCATAATCAATTTTAAAAATTTAAGGTGTAAATCCATCAATAATGTACCAGCAATATTTCGTATGAAGATTGAATCTCTCTCTCTTTCTCTCTCTCTTTCTCTCCTTCCTGCCCTCCGTCCCCCCTCCCTTTCTTCCCATGCTGTTGTTAAATACTTTCAGCTTTGCTTAATGAAACCTAATTAGGTTCTTAGTCCAGAGCACTACTGAGGGGAACAATAAAGTCAGTGCTCTTTTTACTGCTGTCAGATTGGGCTCAGAATGATTGCCAGCATAACACTTCTAACAATCATAGCTATTGTACCGTTGTAAGCTTTCTGACTGCTAGTTCACATATTGATTTTAATTTTAAGGAGGTAATATAAAATATACTTAGGCCTTAAGCTATGAACTTATAGCTTTTTTTTTTTTTTAAAAAAAGACTTTTTTAATGGTGTCTGCTCTGAATAGCATAATTCTAAAAGTGCTTAAGATTCCAACTGGAAGTATGAATTACATCTAGGGAAGCTGAATTACAGATGGGTAATATAAGTTTACTTTTGAATTTCAACCTTTATTTTGGGCATCTGTGTTCTTCCTCCCTCTCTTACACAAACATACACCCAAAATTCAAGCTAGATGTGGGTGAAACACTAACCTATTAGAAGAGCTGGGAAGGCATTATTCACCAACTCCTTTCCCTTGTAGGCCCTTGTTCATTCCTCAAATCTGCTCTGGGGATTTGATAAAACAAATTATTGGGATTGTAGGATTTAAGAAATATGACCGTCCATCAGCTTCTCCCAGCTAGAGCTCTATTGGATCTTCTTGCCTCAGCAAACATGAGCCTTTCCATCATCAAATCTGGATTCAAATATATGATGTACATGTGTTAAGGAGTATTTGAATGCACCTTAAACCATGTCTCAGTATTTGTGTACAACTTATCTTATTTAAATACTAAGTATCTAGAATACTTAGAAACATAATCCCCCAAATTGATAGCGATGCATTCCTAGGTCAACTCATTTGGAGGCCAAACAAGAGCATTTTATAAAAGTAAAACAAACCCACCAATATTTTGACAGAGCAAGAATAGAGGTAAACCTTTTCAAGCGTGTTGTAAAAGCTATACAGCAAGTAGGAAAATTGCATGTACAACCCTATGGTTGCTGTGTAGCCGGTGCAGGGCAGGAAAGGATTAAAAAAAAAAAAGATTAGTTAAACTGAAGGATGAAGAAAATGGGGTCTATGGAGATGACAAGTAAATACACAAACAGAATTTGAGGAGAGAGAGTGTGGAATCTTTACTTAGACCTGTAGCCTTCTGGTTATAGTTTAACTGGTCCTTAAAGATAGTGGGGGACTGAACTGAGCAAAACAAAGGTAGCTCAGCGAGGATACAGGGTACTAGGTCATAAGGCTCCAAATATGGGTGTGGCAAGGGAGAGAGGAAAAGAAGACAGAGGTTTGGATGCAGGATCCGTTGGCAGAAAGACTACTCCTGAGGAAAAGGTAAAGAGAGAAGGCACAAAACTTTATGCAAAGGATTCTCTGGACCATTGGTAGTCTGTTCAGCTCAGGTAGAACCTAAGAGGTTGGGAATTTCACTTCTGAGAGAATAGGCCAGAGGATTTGGCTGGGAAGGGCCAAGAGGAAGAGAAGCTGAGAGAAACTGACTAGAGACCTATCTAAAAGGAAGGAGCCTGGAAGAGAGGGAGGGAATAACAGAGTTGGAAGGGATCTTGGAGGTCTTCTAGCCCAACCCTCTGCTCAGGCAGGAAACGCTATACAATATCAGAGAAATGGTTATCCAATCTCTTCTTAAAAACCTCAAGTGTTGGTTGGACTGCTATATTAATCTTTATGTCAAAGCAAATTACAGTGAGGGTATTTGACAAGGGATAAGGGAGAGTGGGATTGTTTAAACAAGATACTGAGGGAATCACCCCCCTTGAGATCAATAGCTTCACACATCTGATGATATCATTCTACCTTTGTTATATTATCCATACTATATCTGTATATAATTTCCTAATGATATAAGTTAAAGCTGTAAAAAGATTACAGTTGGGGAGGTATTTTCCCCCCTTATTTGATATCCCTGGAGAAAGGAAAGGAAAGGATATCGCTCCATAGAGTTCCCCCTGCTGGTGAAAGATTTGATATAAATTCCGGAAAAGATTCTGCTTTGAAAATTCCTGGGAGAGGGGAACCAATTCCCCTATTCAGGAGTAGCATTTGTGTTTTAGCAGGGGCTATTTAGAATATGCTGGGGGGGGAGGGGAATTAGGAATTTTGTGGATGTTTTTGATCACATTGTCTCATTTGATTCAGACAAACGTCAAATTATATCCATAGAATTTATTGCATCTATAGTCATCTGCCATGTCATATGTGGTTATAGTTCAGCAAAAGTCTAATTCTTTTTTTAGTGGATAGTTTCGTCATCTCCAAACTGGAAAAAGTCCTAATTTCCATTTATAATCATTTCATTCCTTGCATTTCATAGCAGCATGCAAGAAATATTTCAATAGCTTCCTTTTTTTAACAGGGGAAGAAATGGTCGTGCAAAATTATTACCTCCCTCCCTCGCAGTAACATGACTAATGTCTTCAGTCAGTTTATAGAATCACAGCATTAAATGACCTTTAATCATGTTAGCTAATAATAAACTGGACTATGGCTCAATTCAATTTTCTGTGCTGCTCTAAATAAATCAGTAGATTGGCTGGGCAGAAATACAACTTTTTGTTATTTGTTTATCTTAAGCTTTACGTTGAAGGATAAGAAAATAGTTTTTTCTCCTTAAAATAGGTTATCAGGATTTCAAAATCCAGTGGATCTATTCCTATTACTCTGGGGGTAGTGACAGATGAGGGTGAATGCTATGATGAAGCAGAAATGAAGGATTATATAAATATAATTTTATAAATGAATACAAACAAAAATAGAATAAAAAAGAAAAAAATTCTACATGTTAACTCATTGTAATATATACTCACTTCTGTTCAGCAAATTGAATAGAATAGTCCTCAAATATTTGGGGACTAAATGATCTGGAATGAATCTGTGAGATTCACTCACTACTGCATTTATGTCCTACTAGCTGATAATCCGGTGCTGCCCAGGTATTTATTTATCCCAACTCTCCTTCCATGAACATTGCCACAATTTCTAATGTTGGATTTTCCCCCTTTATCAGAGGGAGCTCCCTTGTGGAGTACTGTGAAGCCATTACCGTAGCACTCCATTGCGCTGCACAGTAGAAGCCATTTTACGGCAGTACAGTAGAAGCCATTTTAAGACACAACAGGGTGTATCTTAACAGAACAGACACTCCAAGGGGTTTTAGAGGTGTCTTAGCCCCACACTATTTGTTTCCAGAAGGTAAGTTATCTTGTACCAAGTTTGGTTGAAATTCCAGAATTATGTCCTCAAAAGAGAGTTGCCCTGGAACTTTCTGGAACTTCGTATCCATGCATATAAAAATCAGATCAAGGCTTTCTGCACATGCTTTCATAATTATTGATGGAATAGATTGTACCAAATATCCACCTAATTTATTTCTATAGGTAGGTAACCGTATGTCTTATCTGAAACACAAATACAGTAGATTTAGTATGAAGAACCATACCATGCTGCTCTTTCCCTCAAATACAGTATAATAGAAATATAATTGTTCAAATAATATTTGCTAAATATTATTTTGCTAAAAGTTTTTCTTTTCTTTTTTCCCCCCTTTTAGTATGCATTTAATTCAGATGGACTCAGTCCAACGCTGGATGGAAGACTTGAAGCTCATGACTGATAGTGAATGCATGTGTATTCTTCAGTCTAAGCCAATCAGTTTAGAAGAAGATGCACACGGTGAATTTCCTATTTCATCAGCACAACATAGTGCTGGTGACAACTTGCAGTTGTTGCTGAAAAGAGCTTGGATTATAAGTACTGAGCTGACCAGGATTGTTCAAAAGCTGGAAAAGAATAGATGGCAGAGGGTGCACAGCATGACAGTACGAGTCAATTGTCATGTCCGATCAATGATCAATGAATATAATATACTCACAAGGAATTCTTGGGAAGAAATGCACCAGGTAAAGGCAATGTAGGAACTAGTAGTATTATGAAACTATTACTTAACAGTCTAGATAAACATAAAAAAAACTACTTTTAAAAACAAGGAAGTCTAGAACTCCATGGAACTGGAAATAATGTGTTGGTGTTTATTGGGTGCATAATGTTCAATATATAATAATGTCAGAACCATTATTTTGGTAGGAAGCTTCTGAAGCAGCTTTCTACCAGGTCAGATTCTATGAACATAATAACTATTGCCATTTGTGTCTGACATGGTACTTTTATTGCTAGAGAATTTTGAGTTTTTTCCTTATACTGATGACCTTAATCTTCTTGTAAATCACTCAGAGTAAGTTGGTGAGGGTGAGGTCTTAGAAATGAAATCAAATTAGATTTTTTTTAAAAAAGCTAGCTCAGTTTGCATGCTTTGATCGTCATCTACTCATCAGGAACTCGGTTCAAAGGACTTTACCATAATCTGTTGCTTGAACCATTCAGCTGGAGATGCCAAGAAATAAACCTGGAATTTTCTATATGTACAGTAAATCATAGTCTTTTATATTGGATCTACAGCCTTCCTTTTTATGCTACAATTCCTTTTTGCTTTAACTCTGGATGCAAAGTTTGCAAAGTATAAAATGTGTTATTCTGCCATAACACATCCTACTTTTCTTACATGGTTGCTAATCCTTTCTGTTCTAAAGTAAGATTGCCAAATATAAGAACAGGAAACCCCAATTCAGCCTTTGCTATCTTTCCACTTACCTGCTCATTTCAATAAGATTACTCAGTAGAATTTCAGAATGAAAAAGTGCAGGCCATTGAGTGTATGGTTTTTTAAAAAAAGAAATAGGATTAGCTGTGATCCCAATCCAGATCAATCTCCTATATGTTTATGAACAGGATGGATATCAGGAATACTAGAAAAAATAACATCTTGTATTTACATAGCAATGTGATTCTAATATTGACAGAGGAGTTGTGGGTACTGTGATCCAGAACATCAGGCTGGAGATGCTAAACTATTCTGGATTTCAAATGAGTATCTTAAAACTTGTTTTTAATGGAATTTTGGTTTTGTTTATTTTAATTAGCTGCTCAGTTGTCTGTAGGCATAATTTCTAGGTGCAGTTGATGCTTCTGAATATCGGAACTTTGATTTTAGAGACCACAAACAAGTTAACCCCTCCTCCTCACCCCAATCAATATTCTAAAACAGGATTAGATGTGGGAGAATGAAAGACAGCCCACACAGTTCATTCCTCATCGTTATTTGATATCAAAAGGGAAGGGAAAAATAGAACCTCACATAGAATGAACCTGGAGGGCATTTATGTTTCTTCAGAGCCTTTGATATCTCCGTCCCCCCTCCCAGAATAAAAGGTCTATCCTCCATTCTGAACCCATCCTTCCATTGTCCATATTTCTTAAGATTTATATTTTGCTTATCCATGTTACTCCCATGATCTGGGGTTGAGTTAATCATGTGTACCTGAAAATAAAGCTCATACTTTGATTCTTTTTCAAATAAGTTAATGCAGTTCTATTCCTATCTTTTTCAGTATGAAAAAATGCTAGTGGAAAAATGCTCAGAGCTTACAACAGTTACTGAAAGGTAATATTAAACATTATTAATTCTTGTACTTTTACCTTAGCAAACCTATATTAAAAATTGTGGACATCCTTAAAGGGTCGATGAGCTATATTATTATGATAGATTTGAAACCAGTAAGCCTCTTCCACTTGCAGAGAAAACCTGACTTCTAATTAACATAAGTCTCCACTTTGGATTAATAGCTAATGTTGTGGTAGAGATTCAATATCTATTTTGCAGAAAAGTGTGTATTTAATAGAAAAGACTGGGGAATCCTTAGGCTACAGATTGATATATTGGTCATGCACAAACTGAAGCAATCATATCAATTATGAATTTTAATTTGCATTTATATTGATGCTATAGAGCTGCTCTTGGATGTTGCATCTTGAATAGATCTTGGATTATAAATTACAGGGCCACTGGACTGATACTTTGGCATCTTGTTTTAAACATTTCCTTCTAGGTGCATACAGATTGAAGATGAACAAATATTAAAATCAATGAAATCTTGTATTAATGATGCGCTAACCACAGTGGCACAGTATTTTGCCCAATTGATAGAACTAGCTCTAACACATGAAATAAAGGTTAGTAAGTTTTTCTTTTCGGTAGTAAAAACATATTTTGCCAGTACTTCTATTTATATCTCTTAAGATATCCTGAAGTATTTTGTTGTCTCTAGAGACGTAGCTAATATCTTTCATACTAGGAGAATGCTAAGACTGGGAATATAAACATTCTGGGGCATTAATCGCAATCATGCCATGCTTGTCTTTCTAACAGAAGCCTACTCTACAGTATCAATAGAAAACTGTTCTGTAAGTCAAATGTTAGAGTAAATACAGGAGCATAGAAAATGTTTTCGTTAAACTGTCACATAAAAGTAAAATCTCCTTTTCATGCAGGTTAACTCCTAGTGATACAGCCATACTATTTTCTTGGCAATAATTCTAAATAATAATAATAGCTCTTAGCAATAGCACTTATATATCGCTTAGCTGAGTGTCAAGATATTGCCCCCAACAATCTAGCTCCTCATTTTACCAACCTTGAAAGAATGGAAGGTCGAGTCAACCTTGAGCTGGTCAGGATTGAACTCCTGGCTGCGGGCAGAGTCAACCTGTAATACTGCATCCTAACCACTACACCACCATAGCTCTTAAATGAGGGTTTAAATGAGGGGTTCTTGGTGCTCTTTGCGCTTAATTATTCTCTTGCAGATATTTTATTATACTGTACAATCTTTTAACATGGAGGGGTACTTCGTGCTCTCTGAGCTTGGTTGAGATTCCCCCCCCCCCAATGTTTCATTATCCAAAGGAGGTAACACATAATCAGTGCTAGTAAGGAGTGAGGTTTGCTCACTCCCCACATGCTGCACGATTCCAAAATGATTTTCTCCCCCCTTCTTTTTGTTCTGACTTTGTTGGAGTCTGGTTGGGGCCACAAAGGTCTCTTCTTCAGGTCTTACACAGTCTTCAGGTAGATAGAAAAAAGAAGGGACCTGACACTTGTAACTCAAAAGGCATAACAGTAATGGCTGTTTAGAAAAAAAAGTGACGGTTGTGAGAGAGGAAGGAAAAGTCTGTTAGAAGAAGGCAAGAAAGAAACAAAAGGAGAAAGAAGCAAGAAACACAAAGTTATAAGATAGTGAGGCAACAAGTAGTTTTATCCCAGGCTGTCCTCTGAAATATTCCAGGCATTGAATTGTCTTGGGAACCAGTACAGAGAGCATTGATAGGGAACCATTGAGGATGAGGAAGCTCAGCAATATTTTCTAATAAGGGGTCCCTCTTAGAGAAGAAGAAAAGGAGAACACAGAAAAAGGAGAATATTTTCTTCTGTTTTTCCACCCAAAGGAGCTAGCAGTTTTCCAGTTTCACAGTCTGGGGCTAGAGCAGAAAACCCCCCAGCTTTGATTAATGGAGAAAAGTGCTAGTTACCTTTGTCCTGAGAAGCTAACCTAATGATTACTAAGAACACCAATGATGAGTAACCTTGGAATATTGGGGGAGAAGGAAGGACAAGAGAAGAAAAAGAACAGTAAAGATTCACTTCAATAGAGCTATGTAATGGGTCTGGCACATTTACAGAGCTAAGGAATATTTAATGATAAATACCTTTGACATTATCCAAATTACTTTGAATTCTGGAATATACTCCATGCCTTTTCAGATATTTGTGTCCTAATAAAGTTATTTTTCTATGAAAGGTCGTACTCTGAATATTGTATCTGAGGAACAGTAGTATTTTTCTTTCCAGTCGGAATGTCAGCTCTCCAAATACCCTATGAACAACGTTTTACAATTATTTCTTTCTGTTCTTGGTTTGTTACACAGAACTTGGTGAAAGAAATACATTCATCAGATAACCTCTACTCTGTAGAATCAGCTGTAAGCAACTTATTTAGCCTTACTCAAGAAGGATCCCATTTGTGTCGCATCATTGCAAAGGCAAGTTACCCTTGGGATGATTCTAGAACAACTATTTGTGTTGTGGGTGGCCTCCTATTGTAATGTTTTGTCTCTCTCCTCCAAACATTAAAATGTAGATGTTTCTTTCCAGAGAAAATAAGCAACATCATAGGCTATTTTTCTTAAAATTTAAGAATTACCATATTTTTCGGAGTATAAGATGCACCAGAGTATAAGACGCAGCAAGGTTTTGAAGAGGAAAATAAAAAAAAGTTTTTGTGCTCTGCAAACCTCCCCAAAATGCCCAGTTTTTCGTGAAAATGGGTCCATTCCCCCCCCCCCCAAAAGGGCAAGAATAGCCCTTAGGAGGCTTGTAGAGTGCTCCGGGGGGGGGGAATGAGCAATAAACGTCCTGTTTTTCATGAAAACAAGCCCATTTTTTGTCAAAAAAGAGGGCATGGATAGCCTTTAGGAAGCTTATAGAGTGCTGCTGGAGGCTGGGGTTTGGCAAAAAAAAGGGCCGTTTTTCGCTCATTTCAGCCCCTAGGAGCTCTCTGAAAGCCTTCTAAAGGCTATCCATGGCCATTTTGGTGAAGGGGTGGAGTTTTGGGAGACAAAAAATGCTGTATTCAGTGTAAAAGACGCATCCAGATTTTCAGCCTCTTTTTTGAGGGAAAAAGGTGTATCTTATACTCTGAAAAATACAGTATTACCGCATTGGGTGTCATTTTATCTCAACATGTACATTCCCCATCTCTCCATACTTTCATTCTCCAGCAGTGATTATGAGACTGTGGGACAAAATACACCTCCCCTCATATTTATAGGGCAAGGGTGGGTTCCTATCAGCTGAACAACTGGTTCGCTTCATGCACACTTTGCACTTTAGCAAAAATTGAACTTCCGCAATGCAAACAAGGAAAGGAGCAAGGTTACTAGCTGAGTAGTGGAAATTCAATCTGCTGCCACTGTTCAGCTGGGCTTCGAAAGCAGAAATAACAGTCAGTATAACCCGGGGGCAGGAGGACGGGCCCACTTTCATGGAAACAGAGAACCGATTTGCTCTTGGCTTGCAATCAGAGCTACCGGTTCGGCCGAACTGATCAGAACCAGTAGAAATCCACCACTGTTGTAGGGAACATGTAGACTAGATAAAAGGAGAAATATTGCACCCAAACATAGCTCTAATTTTACTACATGTTCCCTTCCTGGCAGGACAAACAGTTAATGGTGAATAGATTTGAGTGTACTGACAATTATAATGCAAGAAGCATCATCTACATAACGATGCTTAGCATTTCAGATTTTAGCACTATTTCTGCATAATTCTCACTACCTTTGTATGTATATGTGTGCCTTTAAGTCAGTTTTGAATCCTAGTGACCATGTGGACTTGTCCGTACAGTTTGCTTAGCAACACCTAGATTGCCATTTACTTCTTGGGGCCGAGAAAGACTGACTGGCTCATAAACACCTATTTGATTTCATGTCTAAGACAGGACTAGAATTCATAGTCTCCTAGTTTTTTGCCCGGTCCCTTTCACTACTACACCAAATTGACACTCAACATAATTCAGGCTAATGCTATTACTCCTTTTTGCAGACTTGTGGAAAAAATTGAAAAAACAATTCTGTCTGAGTGGAAGGATCAAAGCTCATTCAGGGTACAGAAGTTGTAATATTTTTAATGTGACTTTGCATTGCATATCTAAGATTTCTCTCTTATTTTATATGAATCAGGCATGATAGAAGCATGTGTTCAATAAAAACAGTCTAAAATGAGAGAAGTTCTAGTGGAAAAGCTGAACTGAAAAAAGAAGTTAGCTCCCCAAAGAAAGAAGAGAATTTAAAGTTGTTGATTCAAAGACCTGCTAAAAGTCACTGCTGTTTTGTTCCTTAGCACTTGTACTGCATTATAGAAGTACTCATTCTTTACTAATTCTTTACATATTAGCTCATTTTAAGGAACCAATATAATATAACAAAATGGGCAAAAACTTTGAGATCACAAATGATAAAAGTTAAGAATGGATTCTTATCTTCTAAATTCTTTGTTAGATTTATTTAGCTTTTATTTCAGGTAAGATCAAAGTACTCTTTAATACTCACAATGGTTTTTTTAGGATATGATTTATATCACCAACAATTCTTTTCCCAAAATCATTGATTTTTTAAAAGTCAAAACTGGCCTTATGAATGCCTATATATCTAGACATTTTCCTCACCAAACATGTCTGATCAAATATAGATTTTAAATAAATGAAATTTACTTATTTTATTTCACAGAGAGTCACAAATAAATTTATTTGTCTATTATTACAGGTAATAGTGTGAAAATCAATGGCGTTTAATAAAAGAAATTGAATAGGTCACCATCAAAATCCTTCTTAGTCTGTTAGTTAGAAATCCTCTTTATTATGCCTGCTCTTCCAGCAAAACCATTTAAAATCTGAGAACAAGAAGTCTTTAAAATGTTAAGCAATTTATTTTTCCCAATAAATTTTGTCTTAGGTTTATGAAAAGGTTCAGCTTCTTCTCATCTTTAAACTGTATGTCCACATAACCTACTGCCCTTAAATCTGTCATTTGATTTATACAGTATTGGAAATGTGAGATTCAGAAGAACATGGCAGTTTGTAAACTCAGATTAAATTTGATATTTTTTAAATTTTTTAATTAAGATAATAATTTAAAATACTACAATGTGCCCGGGCTGCCAGAAAAGAAGTCCGAATTGTCTTCTCTGGCAACATTGTACTGCTAACTAGGGCATACAAAACCTTTGCCAGACCAATTCTCGAATACAGCTCATCTGCCTGGAATCCACACCGTATATCAAACATTAATATGATCGAACAGGCCCAGAGGTATTTCACGAGAAGAATACTCCACCTCCTCTGCTCACAATAGAATCCCTTATGCCACCAGGCTGAAAATTTTAGGCTTGGACAACCTGGAACTATGCCACCTGTGGTCGGACCTAAGCATAGTACACCAAATTGTCTGCTATAACGTCCAACCTGTCAACGATTACTTCAGCTTCAACCACCATAATACATGGGCAAACAATTGATGCAATCTCAAGGTAAACCTCTCCAAACTCGATTGCAGAAAATACAACTTCAGCAACAGAGTGGTCAATGCCTGGAATGCTCTACCTGACTCCATTATTACATTCTCAAACCCCACAGCTCCAACCTTAAACTGTCTACCGTGGACCACACCCCATTCCTAAGAGGTCTGTAAGGTGGGCGTGCATAAGCGCACCAGTGTGCCTACCATCCCTGTCCTATTGTCCCCATTTACTTGTATTCATTTCCTTTGTTTATGTCCAATGTTCAGACTTATGCCTGCTATCCTGTACATGTTTGACAAACTAATAATAAATAAATACAATATAAGTGAAAATAAAGTTTGCAATAAGGGGTCGGTCACCGGGAGCAGAGGTTTTGTGTTTCGAGCTTTTGGACTTGTGCTGGAGCTCATCTTCAGGGAAATTCTCCTTAGCAGAGTGTGTGCTTCTCTTCAGCATGACTCTGAAAGCTCAGAAGAAAAAACCTTTCCTCCCAGTGACTGACCCAGATTGGATTCTGCAACATTATCCTGGGACACGTGTATTTGCCTTCTCTCGAGAAAATTAAGGTGGTAAGGAAATTGGAAGGTAAAAAAGGAGTGTAGAAAGAAGGGGACAAGGAAAACAAAAGCATTGACTTCCAACTTTTTTCAGCACAGTAAAATATAAAAATTGCAATCTCAATTTTTTACTTTACATACTTAGTAAATACTAGCCAATTTCTGTAACAAAAATCTAATCTACCATAATCAGCAAATACCAAGGCCAAGATTTCAGACTGAATTTAACTTGAGCTACTTTGAAATTGAAAGGGGGGAAAATATATCCTTAGGCTATAATAGAGAAGTATTAAAACACCAGCAACTGTTTCATTTTTTTTTATTTTGCAAAAAGAAGTAAAAACAGCAGGGATGACAACCCTTTAGTGGTTTATGCCAGCTTTCCAACATTATGATGATTGTAAGAGGATTATGCACTTAAGTTATTTTCTACATGTAAAAAACAGTGAGGATGCTGATGGAGAGGGATAAAGCAATTATGTTTATCCTTACTTCCTACTCATGAATGAAGAGTTTATCTCTCCTAAGCATGATGGAACAAAATTAAAATTATGAACTTGGCTGTATGTAGTAAATCTGAAAGGGCTTCTGCTCTCTTAACATTATCACAAATATAGTTATTCAAGCCTCTTTATTTGCCAAACAAATGTTTGTTTGAAATCTTCAGACTTGTTCTTGATGGAGGAAGATCAGAAGTAAAGTAAGTAAGTAAGTAAGTAAGTAAGTAAGTAAGTAAGTAAGTAAGTAAGTGCAGTTCTACTATGGCCTAGAGCATGGTTTGCAGTGCCAATGCAGTATGGTGCCCTCTCACTTTCCAGAGATGATGAGCTGGTTACTCAGATATTTACTTTCTCCCAGAATAGAAAGTTATTAAAAATAATGTCTCTCCTGGCAAATGGAGTCTTCAATGCTCATTGTTTTAAAGCTCCTTTGGGAAGATTTTTATTCTAAAAGGGCAAGTTATAAATTATCCTAATAAATAATAGAGAAGCAGTTTGGTTAAAGGCCCCAGGCCAGAAACCAAAAGACTTAAGTTTGTAGGCACAAAGCCAGCTGGAGGCCAGTGACTCTCCCTCAGACCTAGGAAGAAGGCAGTGGCACTTCTGAAAAATCTCCAAATCATTTGTCTACATAGTCATCAGGAATAGCGGTTGACTGAAGGCTCTGAATAAATAATCTATTGTTTCCATTTTTCAAGATTAAAAGTGGCATAAAAAGAAGCATCAAGCTATTTTTATATGTGACAATGTTCATAGCAATCGATGTTCTTTTGCTGTTGCATATAGCGCCCAACTGCAGTGAGTGAGTGATTTGAAAATAAAGTCTTTGCTTGTGGTATTAATTCCAGAAATCAATAGAATTTCATTCACATTTTTGGTTGTATCTGTGCCAATAAAGCTTTCTGAATTCCTTTGTAGCCATATGCTACAAATGAAAGAGGATTATTTTACAAAACTGAAAACCATTTAGGTCAAAATCCTAATTACATTTATCTGCAAATAATTCCCATCTAGTCGGTAATAAACTTTCTGTAGGGCTAAGCAGATTTAAGATTATTTCTACACTAGCCAGTTTTTATATTGAACCTTCAGAATTATATACTGCCAGAGATTGGCTTGGAGCTTAGAATGGATTGGATCTAATTAGTTTTTGAATGAGAGACTATCTGGAAACATCAGTGTTATAAACTAGATTGTAAAATAATAATGAAATAAAGGATCAGATCAGCAGAGAAGCAAAAGCCCAGTTTCTAATTAAAAAGGTGATTTTGGAAAACTGCAAGAAAAAGAAGACCAACCTGAATGTAGTTTGCATTGATTATAAGAATCCAGTCTACTCCCTTTTACATGATTAGATAATCAAGTGCCTATAAATTACAGGAATCAATAGAAACATCAGAAGTTTGGTTTGAATGGAAACCATAGGTGTTGGTCAATGATGATAAACTGGGAGCAGTTAATATCAAGAGAGGAATCTTTCAAGGAGACCCACTCTCACCACTGCTGTCTGTCACTGCATTGATTCCTCTATCAGCAATACTGACCAAGTTAGGCCATGACTAAAAGGTAAAGGTTCCCCTCGCACATATGTGCTAGTTGTTCCTGACTCTAGGGGGCAGTGCTATGTTTCAAAGCCAAAGAGCCAGCGCTTTCCAAAGACGTCTCCGTGGTCATGTGGCCGGCATGACTAAATGCCGAAGGCGCACGGAACACTGTTACCTTCCCACCAAAGATGGTTCCTATTTTTCTACTTGCATTTTTACATGCTTTCAAACTGCTAGGTTGGCAGAAGCTGGGACAAGCAATAGGAATTTACTCAGTTACATGGCACTAGCGATTCGAACCACTGAACTGCCAACCTTTCTGATCTACAAGCTTAGCATCTTAGCCACTGACTACCTAACATCAAAACCATCTGCAAGGAAAAACACTTCCTTTACATGAATGACCTGAAGCTATATGGCAAAAGACCTAAACTGGAATCACTTCTCAGTGCTGTATGCACAGCCAAAATATTGCAATGGAGTTTGGAATGGATAAATATGCCACCATTTGGCAAGGAGGCACAAAGATTTCATTGGTGGAATAAAGGAATGAAGACAACCAATTGGTTTAATGGTTAAAACACCAGATTAGAAACCTGGAGGCAGTAAATTCTAGTCCTCCCTCAGGCACAAACCCAGCTGGGAGACTCCTCCCCCCACTCCCTCTCTCCTCTCTCTCTGTTGTTTCCTTTTCTTGAGAACGAATAAAACAATGTCCTCTAGAGAGCATTCAGTTTTAGCATCAATTTAGAGACATTCAAGCTACTACAAACTGTTTAATTTTATTTTGAGATTATGATGAGATAAGCAGCTATGTTTCCACTGCAGCAAGATGCAAACTTTAAGGAGCACATATTTTTTAACAGATGAAAATCTAATTGCTGAACAAATTGTGAACTGGGTCTATGCAGGTAGTCACTATATAAAGAATTAGCCTGGGCAATGTTAAGCAGGACACCCGGCCCCATGCACAGCGTACCACTTGCGACGGGATCCGGAATCCACCATTGGAAGGAATCATTTAAAACACTGCATCACCACCCCCCCCAAAAAAAAAACATTTGTGATAAATGGTTGTCTAGTTTCTCCTTCAGCAACCTTTTCTTTTTGATTAATCCATACATTTGGAATTTGGAGATATTATGGCTACCATAATAGACGCAACCAATTACAAAATACTTATTTAGCAGAAGGCAAAGCAGAGAAGTTATTCTCCATCACTTCATATAATCTCTTAGTTGCTTTCTATTACTATTTTTCCCCCTGAACTTGAGGCACACTGCCAAACAAGTACTGAGTCAGAGCCAACCACCATTTTATTTTCTAAAAATGCCTCTGGGGTTTACCTGGAGTCCAGCAACATTCCTGGAAATAAAAATTATGCATGAGGATGTTTCTTTGTTTTGCAGAATACCGTGTCCTTTATTTTTAATTAAAATGCTTTAAAAAAAAGGCAATTAGAAAGCCTGTTGGGGCATTTTGATACAGATGCTGGAGCACACAGGGACTATACTGGGACCTGATTCTAGGACATGGCTTCTTCTATTGAACTATTTTTCTTCTTCTTAACTTGTAGTCTTATTGCAGCTTATTTACTGATTTTTTTTTCTTGTAGGAAGGAGGTATTGTTGCCTTGCTTAAAATCTGCCGTCAAGATTGCTTCAGATGCCTATATCCTCAAATACTCCGAACGGTGGCCTCAGTATGTTGTGTGGAAGAAGGAATCCAACAGCTGGAAAAGGTATCACCTCCATCTCTTGGGTCTGTAAAAACAATGTGCTCTCCTTAGCAGATTACTAACACATGTGTCGTGCAACCTAAAAGTTCACCAATGGCAAATATTGATTGCAGGATCCAGTCTGGGCTGGTCACTGGGACCAGAGGTTTTGACTTACGAGCTTTTGGAGTCATGCTGGAGCCCATCTTCAGGGAACTTCTCTCAAGCAGAGTGTGTGTTGTTCTGTGTGTGATATTTATAGGGCCTGTTGTATGTGGCTTTTTAGATGTCGTTTGGGGTGTGTTAATGGCTGGCATTGATTATCCAATGGAGTTTTTCACAAATATGTTAGCGCTGATGATAGATTTTAAAACAATTCTTCAGGTTTATTTTTCAGCAGATGGGCTGGGTTAATGTTGCAAATATTACTCCAGGGAAATCAATATGAAACTTGTCATTTAGTTTAATAGCTGGGAATAGCTCGTTCATTGGGATGCAAGTTTGTACCTGCAGATTCTAAAGACCACATATAATCCTGCTGTGTAGGATGATTCCTTTATAAAGTTTCCCTTCATTTTGGTCATAAAAGAATGTGATGCTATGCATAAGATCCAAGAGAGAGGATGCAGCAACAAAATTTTGCCTATACTATCTGTGGTATTAGATTAATTGTTCCTGTCATAGTTTATATGTGGTCATAAGTATTCCTGAGATTATTTCCACCTTATTTCTGGCCCAGCTTTCCTCCCAGAAATACAAAGTTGCATGAACATCTCGATCCTACTCTATAGTTAAATCCCTCCAGTTAGTCACCACTTAACCAACTTTCTTTTTCTCCTTTATTTCCTGAGCAAATGGGTGCATACTCAAACATGAACTGCAACCAACCTACATTTAGAAGAAGCTATGGAGTATACTGTGGATACATTATTTTGAAAATAAATATGATATTAAAGATATATACCATATTTTTTTGGAGTATAAGATGCTCCAAAGGAGGAAAACAAGGGAAAAATATCTGCCTCTGCCTCCCAGCAATTTGCCTCCTTGCAACAAACAGCATAGACAATATACACTGTTTGTAGTGTTATATTTCAGACTATACTTGTACAGATGCTGTTAAAATTGATGTGCTTTCTGGAAGTATAGTTATTCTCTGCTATTTAAAAGAATAGCACTTTTTAAAACAATAGCACTGGGCCTCTTCAGATCAAACATTTTTTTAAAAAAGCTTCTTCATTTTGTTAAATTGTGTAGAATAATAAAGCAGTCTTTAAAAAAATAAGTCTAATAATTTGAACATTCTATAGGCATTTATAGTTGTTGTCTTATCTCCTTGCAGCAAACAACCTTATTAGCACAAGAAAAAAAAATCTGCTTCTGCCTCCCAGAAATTTGCCTTGTGGAGCAAACAGCAAATTTCACTTCAATTTCTCCCGATCATCAGCTGTTTCAGGCTGCAGGGATTGCTATAGCCTATTGAAGTCTTGCAAGCCCCCATTTGCTGCAAAGAGGTAAATTGCTGGGAGGCAGAGTCCAAAAGGTTGGGGCTGTTGGGTGGGTGGGGCTACATTCAGTGTATAAGGCGCACCCAAATTTTCACCCTCTTTTAGGGGGGAAAAGGTGCATTTATAGTCTGAAAAATACGGTAGTTTAGCAGAATTTCAATATCAAATTATTTTTAAGCAAAAGTAACTAAAAGATAGGGATATGGTGGCTCAGTGACTAAGATGCTGAGCTTGTCAATCAGAAGGTTGCCAGTTCAGCGGTTTGAATCCCTAGTGCTGAGTAATGGCGTTAGCTCCTGTTAGTTGTCCCAGCTCCTGCCAACCTAGCAGTTCGAAAGCCCATTAAAAAATCAAGTAGAAAAATAGGGACCACTTTGATGGGAAGGTAACAGTGCTCTGTGTGCCTTCGGTGTTTAGTCATGCCAGCCACATGATCATGGAGACGTCTTCAGACAGCACTGGCTCTTTGGCTTAGAAACGGAGATGAGCACTGCCCCTAGAGCCAGAAATGACTAGCATGCACATGTGGGGGAACCTTTACCTTTAACTAAAAAGTTAAGAGCCTAGTAAGGATTTCATGTATATGTAAGTACTCATTGAACTTATCTGCATTCCCTTGCCTTTTGCACAAGTACATACATTTGCTTAAGAGCTATCCATTGCCAATGGCATATGAATTGTAATAAGCAATTCTGAAGACTTTAAACATGAAGCATCTGGAAGCTTTCCCTGTCTACTGATGGAACTTGGCATTGAGGTAACAACAGTTCAAATACTCTCAACTATCTGGGTTACCTTCAAAATTGAAATTATGAATTACCAGTTTTTTGGTCTCCCATGTTTAGTCTAAGTGAAGAAAATAAATTCCATTTTATTTACCCAACACTTTCATAATTTATAACTTCCTGTTAGAATGGTATCCTTGAGTTGCCAGTAATAGTACTATTGTTAACCATGCATTGCCATAAAGTAAATGTAGAGGATCTGAAAAGAAGTATATGAAATTACAATATATGAATTTGTTAGATCATTTTGTGCAGAAATTTATTCATTCAGAAAAAAAAATCACTGAAATGTTGAGTGTTTTATATGGATTCAGGTCCTTTTCTGGTCATTTTTGAAATGTCACCTTGTATGGTAATGAGATGGCACATCACCTCATCACCATACGATTTACCATATATGTAGATTTATACTCATTGTGAGACAAATATAACAAGCGAGTATCAGAAAAAGGTGTTTAATTTTTTTTTTTACAAAAGCTAATTTTAACTTTGAGTGGTTCATACTTGACAAACTCTGAAGCATGTCATTATCACTATTTTTCATTAGAGTTGTTGATAGTTGTTCAATTCTTCAGAAATACATTGTTGAACAAAGGAAAACAAAGGCTACCAATTACTTACTAAATAATGGTACTCTTCACATCTTGTATTTGAACAATGTGTCTTTTCTAGAAAACAATATTACTTTATACTTTATACTTTACAATGATATGCTTTGTAATAAAATGGTTAGGATGGAAGAAAAGACCAGGGACAGAACATCTTTAGCCAAAGTACAAGCCAATTTTCAAAGGAAATTCCTTCACTTTCCCACATTTACACACATTTAGAAACACACTGGATTAGATTTCTCAGGTTTTTTTTTCTTCTTGTCTACTTATGAAAGATTTATAAAGATGTGTTGGTAATATTTTAAGAATCTGAGCTGCAGCAGGAGTAACTAATAGAATGGAAAGTAAATAAAGAAATACGTGAATTATGTAAATCAGTGTTTCTCAATCTTGGTCACCTGAAGATGTGTGGACTTAAAATCCCAGAATTTCCCAGCCAGCAAATGATAATGATTCTACTAGACAGGAAGTCCTTGACTTACAAACACAATTGAGCCCAAAATTTCTGGTGTTAAGTGAGATATTTGTTATGCGAGTTTTGCTCCATTTTACAACCTTTCTTGCCACGATTGTTAAGTGAATCACTGCAGTTGATAAGTTAGTAACCTGGTGAATCTGGCTTCCCCATTGACTTTGCTTGTCATAAGGTCACAAAAGAGATCACATGACCTCACGACACTGCAAGGGTCATAAATTCATGTTAGTTGCCAAACATCTGAATTTTGATCACAGCATCATGGGGATGCAACAAAGGTTGTAACTGTGAAAAACGGTCATAAATCATTTTTTGTTGTAACGTTGAATGGTCACTAAATGAACTCTTTGTAAGTCGAGGAGTACTGTAATTCTTGCAATTCTTTGGTAACCATTTGTAATGAAAACTTGATTTGGGCACTCTCTGGTTTCCAATTGCACCCCTTCCTGCTCCATCCTCATTGCTGTTTCTGAGGGAAAAAATACTAGAGAGAAACAATCATTTATATTTGTGTTCCTGATAATCCCCTTGGTGATCTGACAGCAACACCCCCCCCCCCTTTATTAGCCTTGTGGAAGGCCCTCAAGACCTTACTGTTTACCTGGTGACTGGAGTTTACAGATATCTATGGAGATTCTCAGTCATCCAAGTCATGATTGTCCCAAAGGTGCTTTTTCAAGAGTCAACTGGACTTTCTGTTTTTTCTTTGAAGATATTTCGTTTCTCATCAAAGAAGCTTCTTCAGCTCTGAAGAAGCACCTTTGGGAGTTTACAGATAGTTGTTTACAGATAGTTGTTGAGGTACCCTAGGAGGGTATTCAGATGCTATTTTTTACCCCTTGGTTTTAGTTTCTGTTTCTATGGTTTGTAGTTAATATAAATTCTGCTTTATGGTTATTTACAAGTGTACACAGAGGGTGGAAATAAGAGAGAGGACTTATTTTGGCGAAATGTTCTTCCAAGTAAAGATAATCTGACAGTGGCATACAGTAATTGATAGACTAGGGTTTATTTTTAGATGCTAGGGTTTATTTTTAGATGCTTAGCTTTAGTGTTTTCAAATGCAATCATTTACTCCTAGTCATGCGGTTTTAGTTTTTCTATTTGACTGTTGCTTTGTTTTTTGTGTTTTATATTAATTTTTGCTTTGCTGGCATGGTTGTTCTGTATATTTAATATATTTTAAATTATCATTACAATGCTCATAAATATTTTTTTGAGGCATATAAAATAAATCAAACACATTAGCAGTGAAGAGAAAAAATATTGGTTATGGGATATTAATAAACACCACCACTATTTCAGTAGAATATATGTATATTTTGTGCACTGATAGATCCAGTTTCAATCCTTGGTTCATCTAGACCAGTGAGGGTTAACCTTTTTGGTGCTGAGTGCCTGAAGTGTGCGCCATTAATGCACCCGCATGTGCCTCAATCCCCAAAATGTAATGTGAGTGCCCCCCACGCATGTGCCCCACCCACATGAAAAAAGTCACATGACCATTTTTCACACTTACGACCATTGCATCATCCCCATGGTCACATGATCAAAATTCAGATGGTTGGCAGTTGACTCACATTTATGACGGTTGCCACTGAGTCTTATGATCCCTTTGGTAACTTTCTGAATAGCAAAGTCAATGGGGAAGCCAGTTTCACTTAACAATCATTCGACTCATTTAACAACTGCA